GGATGCCCCGGTGGTGGAAGGCTCTCTTTCCAGCCCCAGTAGCTCCACGGAAACGGTGCCTGCCAGCTATTTTTCCCCTAGTCTCGGGGCTGCCCCAGGGGAGCCCCCAGGGTCCCTGGAAGTGGGTCCTGAGAACCTAGGGGTAGGAGGCCCACGAGCACCCAGTGGGCCAGTAGAGGGGTTCTACCCACCTCGGCCAGCGCCAGCCCCAGGAGAGGCTGAGCCTGTGCAGGTGAAGGTAGAGGCCATCGTGATCTCTGATGAGGAGGCTGAGGGGCCAGAGGAGAGGCCACGAGCACCCGAGGGACTCTTCCCATCAGGAGCAGTTTGTCAGAGCCGATATGCCCCACCTGAAGCGTTTGAAGAGGCCTCGGCTGCGGGAGGCCCCGGGCTCGAGGACGGGGGACCGGCTGACCACTTTCTGGCCCCTGACGCTCACCTTCCCTACCACCTGTTAGCCGGCCCAGGGCACTATCACCCGGGGCTGGTGACACCCCCTCCGCCTGCGCACAGCAGCCTACATGAGTCTCTCTACTTGCCTCCAGAGTATGAAGTGGCCTCGGGGGGCTTTGGGGTTTTCACAGAGGATGTCCCAACGTGCAAGACATGTGGGAAGACCTTCTCCTGCTCCTACACGCTGAGGCGCCATGCCACTGTGCACACCCGGGAGCGGCCCTATGAGTGCCGCTACTGCCTGCGGAGCTATACGCAGTCGGGGGACCTGTACCGCCATATCCGCAAGGCCCACAATGAGGACCTGGCCAAACGCAGCAAGCCTGACCCTGAAGCTACCCCCTCTTAGGGCTGCACACCTCACCTCGCTCTGACTTCAGCCTGAGAAGTTGGGGGGGGGCACCCCAAAGTCTCTGGACTTGGCCTCTGGGAGTTTGGGGGAGTGGAGTCCTTTTGAGAGCGAGAAGGCTGGGAGGTCATCTTGGCAGTGCTGGGGAGGATGGGTGTAGGGGTTGGGCTGCTGCAGCGCCCTTTTTGAGCCAGGTGAAAGGGCGGCACTGTCCGCAGCACAGAGCCAAGGAGCTGGCTCTTGAATTCCAGTGTCCTCCCCCCACTTCCCTTCCGGGGCTTCGAGGGACAGAGGCCCCCTTGATTAGCTCCTCTCCAGTCTGATTATTTGCCCAGCCCCGCGGCCTTCAGAGTGCCCCTGAAGCTGTCACTTGCTATTACAAGAATTGTCTTATTGCCTGGGCCATAAATGTGAAAGTAAATCCTTTCTATGAAGTGGTCGTGGCTGGTTTTTTGCCCCCCTGGACAAATTTGAGGCCTAATGTGGGTTTCTCCTAAGACCTTCCAAGAATCTGACCTGGGGGAGGAGGGGTGGCAGAAGGGGGAGTCAAATTACTGATGAGGGATAAGGGGAGGGGAGGGGAGTTTTACACAGAATAAGGAATACAGACATAATTAGGAAGCATGACTGAATTCTGTGAGTGCATGGGATGAAGCTAACGGGCAGTTGGTGTGTATTGCTTCATTTGTGCTGTGGTCAGAGCTTTTGGCGGCTCTCAGGGCCTGTGGTCAGCCGCTTCAGTGGGCCGGCCATAATGAATGCTGGACAAGTGTGTTTAGGACTCCTGGCCTGAGGCACAGAACCCTTGGATGCAGCCTGGGCTGAGGAGGAAGGCCCAGGACAGCCAGGGTAATAACAGCTTGCATTCACAGAAGGGGATCTGGTCAGAGAAGGGAAGGAGGAAATGGGGGGTATAGACGGAAGGAGGGAGAGGGCCATGGCCTTGTAGCTCTGCGGGGGAGTGGCCACTGACTCCTCTGAGGCTCACTGAGACCCCCACCAGGTTGGGGGAGAACACTTTTCTCCAGCTTTCCTAGAGCAGCTTGAGTTGTGTCTCGCAATGTCTGCTCCTCAAAGTCAGCTCCTTTGCCTTTCTATATTGTGTAGGAGCTGGAGTGTTGGAAAGCAATCTCAGGGACCTCCTTCACATTTAGAAAGCATCTTGAACTTTCCAAAACTTTCCATTGCCAGTTGCTGAAATCATTCAGGGTGCCCACTGAATGTCCAGCTCAGGTGACCTGAAGAGTTTCTTGCAGGGGCTTCCAGGGTACCTGGAAGGAGGCAGGGTGGGAATGTCTGTCTTCTGCTCACCCTTCATTTGTGAATGAAATCCATGCCTCTCTGGGGGGAGGCGGGGTCGGTGGCAGTCATGCAGCAGTGGCCAACAGCACTAAGGTGTCCTTGGCCACAGTGGACAGCACCACGTTTGTGAAGAGCTCTGAGGGCCGAATCCTAAGCTTCCCGAGAATCTTGAACAATCCCATTTAGGGATTCAAAAGTCACAGACTTGGAAATTGGGAGGGGCATTAGAGTTTTAGCCCATTCTTCTGTCCTGTAGCTGAAAGGGAAGCATTTAGCCTGTGCGTAAACAGTGAGACAAAGGACAGGCAGGCCCTGGGTTTGGAGTCTCAGGCTCTGGGCTCAGATTCATTTGTGACAGCAACCTACTCCATGGCCCTGGGCAAGTCACTTCACTGCTGTGCCTCAGTTTCCTCATCTGTAAAATGCTAAATGACCGAAGGTCCTTTCCAGCCCTATAGCTCCGTACTTGACCATTATATTTTCAGACCATCCTAATGGCTATAAAGGGCCTTATGTTGCACCTAAATCTTCCTCCCTTATCTTGGTTGAAGAATTACATTCCATCCCTTTAATAACCTCGTTTCCATCTTGGAAATTCCTATTATGTTCTGATTCTTGTTCTAACCCAGGATACAGTGGGACTTGGAACAGTAGTTCCTCAGTATAGAGCAGTTTCTGAGGTCTCGTCAAAGAAGGAAAAGGCTCAGAACTGCCTCCATTTCTTTTTTTTTTCTTTTTAGGCAATTGGGGTTAAGTGACTTGCCCAAGGTCACATAGCTAGTAAACGTCAAGTGTCTGGTCTTAGGCTGCGTTAGAATTCAGGTCCTCCAGACTCTAGGGCCGGTGCTGTATCCACTGCACCACCTAGCTGCCCTCTGCCCCCACTTCTAAGACCCTCCTTTCCTTTTACCTTCAGCTCTGCATATTAGTTCTAGCTCTGATAGAATTGTAAGGTCAGAGGCCATCTATGTAAATGGAGTCTTGCCAGGCATCTCCTCAAGCATCCCTTCCTTGCTGAGGGCCTTTTGTGTCCGATTCAGCTTCTTACTCTACAGAGGCCCTTTCACTCATCTCCATGGGAGTAAAGTACCTCCTCGTGTGTCCCATCTCTTTCCAGTTCAGCTTACCAAACCTCTCAATCCTTTTCCTTTTTTCTCACGTTCTCATCCCCCAAGTCACTTCCCTTACTTAATCCAGATTCAGTTAGATAGGTTAGGTGAGGATCCTGGCCTCTCAGACTTCAGTGCACTGCCTTCCAGTCCGGCCACATATTCCATGTGACCCCTGGACTCCTCCTTCTCCACGTGCTGACTTTCCTTGTTGCCCCTTTAACGCCCCTGATATCTGTCAGAGAATAAGAGGACAGTTTTGTTACTTCTGGGCAGCCTTGCAGAAAGGAGAGGCAGGGTGGGGTCAGAGGAGTCCCAGTACATGGGTTCAGATCTTGGCCACACTGCCTGGTACCTATTTGAATGTGGGCAAACAACATCCTTTTCTGTATGAGGCACTTGGACTAGGCGATGTCTCAGGCTCTTTCTAGCTCCAAATTCTGTGATTAGTCACAAGTGATATGATTGCTATCATTATGTGTGAATTTCCTTTACCTGTAAGTCAGATAAGAAGTTGGCATATTGTCTATAGAATCTTAAAAACTGGAAGAGAAAGCAAACACTATCAGTGTAGCCGCTCTGTCAAGCATTAATTCCCACATCCAGCCAGTCTTAAAAGACATATCCAGACTCACTTCCCCTTTCTTTAAATTTCCCCAAAATCCTCGTTGTACAGAAACACCTATTTTTGTGGCCAGGATGAGCGTGTGTTTTCCTACTGGGCTAGCTAAGAGGAAGGGACAACTATTTGGGAGGAGTGTTCCTGGTCAAGGCAGGGACTGAGCAAACAGAGCAGGCTTCCTGGCGTTATTTTTCCAACAGTGTTATAGCATGGAAGTGTCTCTGGGGTCTCCAGGCCTCTGCCAGCAGAGCTCGAGCTGAGTCTAGACAGAGCTGAAGACCAGCCACACTTCTCACCATGAGTCTATCTGCAATCAGGTGAATCTCCGGGCTGAGCACTTTCAGCAGATGTCTGAAGACCATCACTTATGTTAGCTTCACAAGCACAGTCTCTGCTAAAAGTGCGGGCCTTTCCAAGGACTGAGTATAGAAGATGGGTGTACAGTGTGACGAGAGATGACAGATGACGACACCCTGGACTATAAGAGCCTTGCCAACAAACAGCCGTCTGTGCTGGCTTCACAGAGCACCCACAAGGAATGGTGTGAGGCCTCGATAAAGACCCCTCAACCCTAAAGCAAGGGTGGCTTTAAAGCCTATAGACACCGACTTGGAATGATGTTTTTAAATGCACAAAATACACAGGATTACAAAGGAAATGAATTGTATTCAATCAGTTAATAATAATAATTCAAAAAGAAGCTAATGGCCTCTTGATATGAGAAGCCCTGGCTTAGCAATGAATGAGGTGGACAGCCAGACCAGCCCCTCCTCTGGGCATCCCCGACACCTTGGAAAGGCCAGGATAATGGGGAATTCTCAGCCTCTCTTTTTCTGTCACTCATGTACTTGGGTACCCTGGAGGAGAGAGGCACTTGAAAAATACACGTAGCTAGAGAAGGATGCTTTTAGTACTCCTTGTGTGGCACGGTGATTTCTATGGGGACGGACTGAGGCCGCTTTCATACATCTTCCGTAGAGGCCAGCATTGTGTGGTCACTTTGCCACTGTAGCCAAATGAATGTAGTTCATTCTTGAGGGTCATGTATGCTTCAGAAATAAATGCTAATTATGTAGAAAAAAGAAGCAGAAACCAGGAATGATAAGGAAAATCTGAGCAGGGCTCAGATGTCACTGTCAGGTAAACAATCATTAGTCTCAGGACATCTGCGTCAGTTTAACCCATTCTAACGTTAAATTTTAATACATTTTGGCCTAACCTCTGATTTTCATTATCACGAAAAACAAAATGAGAATGTGGCCCAGAAAGGGCATTCCCAGCCTACCAGGCTGTCCTTTGATGCCCCCCAAACACCCATCGTCCCAAAAGGTCCACTGACTTTCTAAGGAAGGAGAACGGAAGCCTTGTTCCCGTCCACCCTTCTCACACCCCTTTCTGCCAGCCTCAGCGGCCATCCACTTCTTGGAATCCGCAGCTCACTGAGGTCATTTATTCCACTTGCATCTAGTTGGCTTGTTCTGGTGTTTCCCAGGAGAGCTCCTCGAGGCTACAAGAAGATGCTGGACAGAAGCACGGAGAAGGCCAGGGAGAGGAGAGGAGTCTGTGCAGGGACGGAAGTCAAAGCGCAGCCCAGGCAGGCTGCAGGCGGACTGCCCATTTCTTCTACTTGAAGCCCCTGCTTCCAGCTGGGGGGGGAGGGGGGAATCTAGGGGTCCGCCCTCTAGCAAGGCCTCTGTCTTGGGCTAACCAAACATGCCCACGTAAAGCTGCTTTTCTTTTTGGTGGCAGCTGCTCAGTTCGGATTCTGTCCGCTGCAGGTATCGCCGGACGTTGGCATCTTGGTAAGAAGAAGAAAAGGAATTAAGTAACTCAAATCTCCAGGGGGGAGAGAGCAGATATTAAAAATAACCCCAAGTCTTCCCACAGCCAAAACATTCTGACTGTACAGGGCCTAGTAAAATCTAATTCCAATTCATTAATCTGGAAGTTTGGTCCTTCCGTCCTTCCTTCCTTCATTTCTTTCTTTCGTTTTTTCACTTTTAGGCAATTGGGGTTAAGTGACTTGCCCAGGGTCACACAGCTAGTAAGTGTCAAGTGTTTGGTCTGAGGCCGGATTTGAACTCAGGTCCTCCTGACTTCAGGGCTGGTGCTCTATCCACTGCACCATCTAGCTGCCCCAAGTTTGGTTATTTCTTTTAAGGACTGAGGGCTGGACTTTAGTTTTGAATTCAAAAGAAATATACTAAACATTTTAATTATTTAAGAGTGCAAACAGGTTTTAAAACGTCTTAGATGCCTCATTTATGTACAGGCTGAGATGTTAATTACAAGCCATTAACTCTTCATGGAAACATCTAAGGGACCTTGATTGAAATATTAAGAGGTATATACCTTTGAAATCAGTCACTTTTCATATGAACGATATCCTCTCATTTGCATTTTCATTAATTCAGGCTAGATTTTTCAAGCCAGCAGACATTGGGCCTCTTATAGAAAGAGGAAGAACAGTGTAGTATATAGAGGGCAAACCCTGGAGCCCAGCAGACCTGGGTTCAAGTTGTTGACCCTCTCTGGCTGTGTGACCCTGGGCAAGTCACTTTACTTTTCTTGCAATACCACTGGAAGACTTTGGGTTGCAGATCAGAGTTGAAGCAGGAATTTGCTCCCTGGGGAGTGGCGTTCCCTACGCCAAAGAAATCACAGGTCCAAACCAAGAAAATTGCATCAGACCATGGCATTGCATCAGAAGCCTAAAGTAGGATGTGAGTACAGATTTCTTTCTTAGATGTGTGGAAGGCCACCCTCTTCTAGGTCGGGTAGGGAATCTTCAACAAGTTTGGATGCAGTCAAAAGGCTGCACTTGAGGAGCCAGAGGGCCACATACAGCCTTGAGGCCGAAGGTTCCCTGCCCCTCTAGAATCTAGCTTATTCCTAAGTCCCCAGGTGGCCAAAAGGCAGATGGGGAGGGCGGCCGGTAAGCACAATGGACTGCACAGACTGGCCCATCCTTGGGAATGTAGACCCCCCCAGTCGGCCTCAGGGACCCCGCGGACAGAGGGCGTTCTTCCCCACAACCCGCTGCCTTTGCCTCACCCTTCGGCTGACGGTCAGCGGCGGCCTGAAGGTAGCGTCGGGCCTGGTCATAGTCCTGTAAGTGAAAAGAGGCCACTCCTGCCCGGTACAAGGCCTTGGCATTGGCCGGCTGGCGCTCCAAGACCTTCCGACTGTATTCTCTCGCTCGGTCATAGTTTACTGGCTCCATCTGAAGGAGAGAGGCTGAGGGGAGCAGAGAAAAGAGGAAGAGCCATGTGGTGGATCCTTCTTGGACAGCACTGGCTTACTTACGGTCATATTGAACAGAAGACTTTGAAGCCAAAACAATCAATCCGACAATATTAAGTGGCTACTCAAAAATGGTACAGGCAGCTAAGTGGCTCAGTGGTCAGAGTGCTGGGCCGAGAGTCAGGAAGACCTGAGTTCAAATCTGGCCTCAGACACTTCCTAGCTGTGACCTTGGGCAAGTCCCTTAACCTCTGTTCGACTCAGTTTCCTTATGTGTAAAATGAGCCAGAGAAGGATGTGGCAAACCCCTCCAGAGTCTTTGCCAAGAGAACCTCATGAACAGTAAGATCCAAAGGGTCACTGAAGAGTAGGACGTGATAATTGAGTAGTGACCGCGTGACTGAACAACAGAAAAGACGCCCAGTGCTGCTTTCTCCTGCGTCGGGGGTGGGGAGGATGGAACGAGGAAGACCTGAGGAATCTCCCCTGCCACCGCCAGCAGCTGGGCAGTGCTGGAGAGCGTCCCTAGAACACCCGTCGGGATGGCTCAGAGGCAGAACGACACCCAGATCTCCCACTTGGGACCCCGCCCCTCAGCCTCATGTGCACAAACAGTTCTGTGGGTGCCACTTCCCTGGCCATCCTCCCCTCTGTGCGCAAGGACAGCCACTCCCTGGTTCCTGACCTGTGCAAGCCCAAGGAGCCTTGGCCTGGGGTTCTCTTAGTGACCTTCTCAACCCAAATCCGGCCACAGAACTGCCAACTCCTTTCACAAGCTGCCACTTCTTGTGGGACTGAAAAGGAAGTGGGACCCACTTCTAGGGAAAACACAGGATTCATGGATTCTAGAGCTGAGGGTGAAGAGGGCTCTCAGCAAACCGTCCGGGTGACAGCTGGTCTTGTTACTGCCTCTACCCTCGCAATGGGATGCACAGATCACAGAACATCTTGGCCAGCGTTTTGTTCTTGGCCTGTTCTGATGCCAAAAGAATATTGTTGGCAAAGAAATAAACATGCCAAAAGCCTGAGAGAAAAGGGGCAGCCCTGGCTGGGTCTCAGGAGCAGCACCATCTCTACTTCTCCATGCTGAGAATGGCTTTCTGATGTACTGAAACAAAGGACAGACAGGGGATTGCAGAACACTGGAGTCCCTGTGGGACCCTGGGCAGGTCACACAGCCCGAATGTCAACAGTGTGGGCCCATCTCCCTTACAGGTTGTTGATTTAAAGTTAGTAATGCGTTTAGAGCCCCAGAAGAGTGTCAAGGGCCGTACAAATGTGGGGATCCCAGCTGCGTGTCTCTTGTACTGCCCCCCCCACTCAGAGCAGCATTAGTGGAGCTGGCCTTGGTAGCACACAGCTGCGGCCCCCTGCGGTGGGGGCAGGTCAGTGGTTTAGCTGAGGCCCTCTGCTCTTCTCACTTGGGGATCTCCTCAGCATTCATGGACTTAGTGACAGTCTTGATGCAAACGATTCTCAAACCTGCTTCTCCTGCCCCGACTTCTCCACTGGCCTCCAGTGTCACATCTCCAAGTGTCCTTCTGATGTCTGGGAGACAACGCTTCCCTCTTCCTAACTCTCCCATCGCTGCTGAGGGCAGCACCGTTCTCCCAGGCCCACAGGCTCACAGCCCCCTCATCCTCGACACCCCACTCACAGCGTCAGCCCTCCTGACACATCTCCTGGGATGCTGGCTCTGCCCTGACACCCCCTCCTCGCATTGCGCCTGAACTCTGACCAGCTGCTGGATCTCCCTGCCTCGTGTCTGCCCCGACTCCAGTCCATGCCGCGCTCAACAGTTGCCAAACTGATCTTCCTGAAACAAATGCTCATTGTATCTTTCCCCTCTCCTACCCAATAAACTACAGTGGTTCCCCATTACCACCAGGATCAACTCTAAAATCCTCCCTGGCTTTTGAAGCCCCTCAATGACCTGGGCCCTTCCTACCTTTCCAGTCTTTCCCTCCTTGCTCCTTTACTCCTCACACCTTACTCTACAATCCCAGGACACCCGGCCTCCTGGCCATTCCCACAATATGACGCTCCCCTGTCCCTGGACTGTCCTCCCTCCTCATCTCCGTGTCCTGGCTTCCTTCCAGTAGGATGCCAAAGTCCTACCTTCCAAAGGAGCCCTTTCCCAGACCCCCTCCTTTTTAGAGCCTTCCAGCTGAGGCCATCCCCAAGTGATCCCGCCTGTCTATATCTCCTGGGCACAGACTCACTGCTTGTTGTTTTCCCCTTTGAACTGAGAGCTCCTGGAGAGCAGGGGCTGTTTTCTGTCTTTCCTTTTTTTAATCTCCAGAGTGCTTAGCCGGGTGCCTGGCACACAGTAGGTGCTTGGTAAATGGTAGCAGACTGACTAACTGCAGCAGTGCTAAAGCTTAGTCAGACATCAACAATGGTCAGCTCCCAGGAATGGAGGATGCAGGCTGCCTGAGGAGGTGTGAACTGGGGAGGCTGGAGAAAGGGAGCTTGACATCAGCATGGGGTTGGGCCCAGGAGTGACTGTCCTCCTTCCAGCCTTCTGGACAGAGGGAGACAGTCTTTAAAAAATTTTTTAAAAAACAAACAACACTCCTTGAATAAGGTGGGCACTTTACCCTGCTTTAAAAAGGAAGAGATCTGAGTATCTCCTGACTTTCTTGCAAAGTATCTGGTGTTTCCAAGTCTCTTGACACTTAACCTCCATCTTCTGGGATGCAATTTAAACCTCTTTCTTCTGATTTTAGAATTCAGCTTGGGCACCATATCTCTGCCATCTATCCTTCTAGTTTAATCGAATATTATCCTTTCCCCGCACAAATTGTCATTCTTCTCAAGGCTCCAGCATTGTGCCCACGTATATGTATCACCCCCAGCCTGCCCCTCCACTGATGCCTTGCTTCAGCTGTGTCATCGGCCCCCAATTGGTCAAGGCCAGCTTCATCAAGTCTTTCCTGACCACTCCAATGATCTCTCCCTCTTCTGAACTAACACTGCCCAAGTCTCTCAGTATAAAGGATTGTGGTGTAATAAACGAGTCCTCGCTCCCCGAGTCAGGAAGCTCTAGACGCGGCTCCCAGCCCAGTCAGGCAGGTCACTCAGTCTCCTGGGCTTTCATCCTCTCTAGAAGGAAGGGCTTGTCGGCCGGATCCCTTCCTCTGATCCTATGTATGATCCCACAGGCATTTCTTGTGTTATTTACCTCCCCAATTAGATCCTAATTGCCCTGAAGGTGGGACTATGAAGCTCCCCCCCCCCAGCTTCTGGTTACAGAGCTAATCATGGCTTGGTAACTGTTTGCCAAATACCTTCAATCGATACTGAACATGAAGTACAGTATGAGGTATTCTGATATGCTATGAAATAATTCACACACCTGGAGGCTGGGCACGATCACCATCCTTTTGGCTAAATGTCCCCTAATTCTCTTCTTTGCCCGTGCACCTTATCCTGAGCTCTTAGTAATTTTGGTTCCTTTGCTCTAAATCCTCAAATTCAGGACTCAGACTGTAGACCTCCTGGATGGAAGGACACCGTATACAATTGTTACAGAAAAGGAGGCAGGAACGCGTAATGGACAGGAAACTGGCCTCAGGATCCGGAGTCCTGGGTTGGGTCCCTCCAGTTCCTCAAGGCCCAAGGGTCTAAGAGCCCTGGTGCTTCCTATCTGGGGGGGGGAGGGGGTTGTGACAGGGGCTGGAGACTGCTGCCCCATGGTGTAGATGACACCAGTGCTCATTAAAAGAGATTAGAAGCAAGTTGCCAGGATTGACTCAACTCTGACTATACTGTTACTGTTGCAGGGGTGTGGAGTGTAGGAAGGAAGAATTCTAGTTTGTTGTCTACTCTAGATCCTGGGCAGTTTTCCCTATCACACCTTAAAGTGCTATGGGAACTCTGCACCTGATCTTACAATCTCATTTGACCACTTCTGATACTTTCTCTAACCTCTCCAAACCTCCAATTCAAAAGTTCTTGGCTTTATCACTAAACTGCCTGGCTGGCCCTGACACTGCCGCTGGGGAGGCATATGCATTCAATACCAGAGCAGGTTTGGATTTCCACTAGGATCAGAGGTTTCCGAGAGGGCCTGGTTAACCCCTTCCCCCCCCACCCCTTCTCAGGCCCAGGAAGTCACTTGATTCGGTTGTTTTACACAGCCTAGTACTTTCTCCCCCATTAAAAATGTGTCTCAACATCTTCATGGCATCATTTTGGACAACCAGCAGTTTTACCTCAATGCTTAGTAACTTAGTTAACATCGAATCTATTTTAGCTAGTTGCAGATATCAACTGGCCTAAGAGATCTCTCACTTGCAACAAAGTAATTCTAAAGACATTAACTCAGGCGTGTGTCCTTCAGTCTGAAAACGAGAGGTGGGAGGTGGGGGTCACCTGGCCTCCTTTCCAGGCTCAGAGTTGCCTAGGCCATCAGAGGAAAGGCAAAGAAAATCTCCCACCCGCAAACTCACAAATCCCAGCCCCCCTCCCCATTTTTTAAACGAACAAAACCAACAGATTCTTTTAACATTGTGACCGGAGCTCAACGGCCAGCTGCCAAGGTCAATCTTTTTTCCCCGCCAAACCCGGGCTTTCCGAGCTCTTACCGGCGAGGTTGTTGTAACAGTCGGTCTGCGTGCTCTCCAGCACCTTCTGCTGCTCGATGGTGAGCGCCGGGCCTCGGGCGCCCAGCGGGGGCAGCGGGGATGGCAGGGTCGGGTCGAGGCCCCGAAGCTGAAGCAAGGCCCGGTGGTATCGGCTCACAGCATCCCGGTAGCGCCCTTCCCGGTAGCGCTGGTTCCCCTCCTCTTTGTACTGCTGCGCCTCGCGGAGCCTCCTCTCCATGACTCGGGGTCCGAGAGAAGGGGCGGGGAGCTGCTACTGCTGCTGCGCAGCCACTGCCCCTGGAGGAGGCCCAGAGGACGCCCTTGGCACCTGGAGCCTGCCCGACCCACCCCGGGGGCTTCAACACCCAGGATTTCCTCCCAGAACCTCACGGGGGGCCCCAGAGGCGCGAGCACGCGGGACAGGTTCTGCACCAGCAAGCCCACTCCCCACGGGCGGATGGACAGACTGGCTGCCCTCAGAGCCCGCGAGCGTGCGCGTGAGCTGGCTTCGCATCCACGTCCTTCGCAAGCCGGCACACCCCCGCCGCGCCCCTGCTTGGCCCCACGGTCCGTCCGCAGAGGTAGCACCTGGGCACCGGCGCCCAGATCTTCAACGTGGCCAGGCCGCGATGGCGGCGCCGGGGCTCCCCCGGGACCCCGCACGCGACAACCGGGACCGTGCCTCGATGCCTACTCCCGCCTCCCAACCCGCGGGGACACCGGGCAGGGCCCGATTACCAAGCGCCTCCGCGCGCGCTCTCGCTGTCCAATCACCTTACGGCTCCACGCCAGTGCACGCGCACCGGGAGAGGAGCCGCAGGCCCCGCCCCCTCCTCGGGCCGGCACCCCGCGCGGACCAATCCGCAAACCGTCCCCGGCCGAGCCGCCCAATCAGAGAAAAAAAGAAACCCGGCAGCATCGGCCGCCCAATGGAAGCGAAGACTGGGCGATTCGAGCCGCCCAATAAGTGGGGACTGGGGCGGGAGAAAGGGGAAACCCAGCAGGCTGCTTGCGGGCCCCGACTCCGAGTGAGGCAGAGGATCAATCGTTCCAAGTCCCGGGTACTAGTTTTGTGGCTAGAAAATGATCCTTTCTCTGCTCCCACTCTTCCCCGCGACGGGTTTCTGCGGCCATGGAGCTACGTGCACGCCAAATGGAGGGAAGAGGCTGGCGGGGCTTCTCTCTGGTGCAGAAAGCTAGGAGGTGCGGGGTGAGAAAGGACCGCAGCACCGACGTAGAAACCAGTTCAACTCCCGCTGCCCCGCCAGGGTGCCGCAATAAAAACAAGACCCAAACAAACCAAGACAGACCCCCTTGCAGTGATTGGTGGAAAAGGAAGAGGGGGCGGAAAGAGCAGGACAGGCCAGCCTATCCCCGGACGCGCGCGGCTCGGGGGGGGGGGCGAGGAGGGAGGGGTGGAAAAAGAATCCCCTCGCCAGCCCGGGGCTAGGCCTGGAGAAGAGAAGGAGAGTCTGGGGTACGGCCAGGATGGGCTTCATCCAGGAGTCCCCGGCGTCCGGCCGCCGGCACCCAGCTTTCCGGAAGCGCGTGCCACAGCGGGCAGCAGCCTCGGGGTGCGGGAGGCGACCGGCCGCGGCGGCGGCAGGCCCTGCGCCTGCGCGCTGGGACCGGGCCGACGGTTCGCGGGGCGGGGGCGAAGGGGGGAGAAGGAGGAGGGAGGAGGCGGCGGGAGGAGGGAGGGAGGCGGAGGCGGCGGCGGCGGCGATGGAGGTGAAGCGGCTGAAAGTGACCGAGCTGCGGTCGGAGCTGCAGCGCCGGGGCCTGGACTCGCGCGGCCTCAAGGTGGACCTGGCGCAGCGGCTGCAGGAGGCGCTGGACGCCGAGATGCTGGAGGACGAAGCGGGCGGGGCGGCGGCGACGGCGGCCCGGCCCCGGCGGCCGGGGGCGGCGGCGGCGGCCGTGCAGAGCCCGGGCGGCGACGAGGCGGACGAGGACGACGACGACGACGACGACGACGACGCCGCCGCGGACGAGGACGCGGACGAGGACGAGGACGCGGCAGCGGCGGCGGCGGCCGCGGAGGGGGAGGAGGGGAGCAGGAGCGGGAGGTGGGGGAGCGGGGGGCGGGGGCGGCCGAGGAGGACGCGGCGGAGGCGCTGCTGCTGCTGGAGGACGAGGACGGGGACGAGGCCGAGGCCGAGGATCCGCCCCCCGCCGCCGCCGCGTCCCAGCCCCAGCCCCTGCCTCAGCCGCCGGGCCGGGCCTCCGCTCAGCCCCGGCCGCCTGCAGCCGCCCCGCCGTCCCCGGCGCCGGCCATGGCAGCGCCCTCCCCGCAGCCCCCCGAGCCCCCGGCGCTGCCGCAGCCCGGCCAGGGCCTGGGCCCGGGCGACGGGGACGCGGAGCCCGAGGCCGGGGCGGCCTTGGCCCCGGGTGGCCAGTGCGACCCGGCGCCTGCCCCCAAGGCCGGCGACGACGACGAGCCGGGTGAGCATCGGCCCGGTCCTGCCGGCGGTTAGACCGCGTTCGGGCCTCGGTTTCCCCGGCTGCAAAGGAGGGGAGGGAGTAGCATGGCTGGGTGGGCTTGCAAGGTCGCACCTCCGCGGGCCTCGGTTTCCCCCGCTGTAAACGAGAGGTCGGTGCTGGGCTTGCAAGGTCGCACCCCGAACGTGGGTCTGTTTACCCTGCTGTAAAAGGGGAGGTGGGCTTGCAAGGTCGCACTCAGGCTCATGGGCCTCGATTTCTTCTGTTGTAAAAGGGGGGGCGCGCTGTGTTGAGTGGGCTTGTAAGGTCGCATCTCTTTCCTCTGCTGTAAAGGGGGGGAGGGCGCTCGGCCAGGTGGGCTCCAGTGGCTCTTCTTTTGCCGTCTGTAAAGCCGGAGGTTGGCTAAGTGGCGTGTAAGACCCTCTTCCCTTCTATTATTTCCTCGTTAAAGAGTCAGTAGAAAGGGGTGGGGGCGGGACCTCTATCAGCCTTGATTTCTCCCAGAGTAAAAAGAGGGACTACTGATTTGTGATTCTGCTGAGCGAGTCTCTTCCTCTTTCTGATCTCAGTTTCCCTTCCCTCAATCTATACTGCATTCTGCAATTTGATAGGTAAGCTCCGGCCCGCTCTGGATCTCCTGTAAATCAGTGGGCTGGTCTAGGGCAGTCCCCCACTTAAGGTTGGTGAAGTTCAGAATCCCTGCTCCATGTGGAGAGAGGGATGGTTTCCAAGGATGGTTATTGCAGTGGCCAGCTGCTTGGCCTCTGTGGGCCCTCCTGCCCACCCTGGGATGAGGATGCCCCCTCTCTTGGGGCAGCCTGGCCTACCTGTGGAGCACCCAGCCTCCTGGAGCTCCTGGGAGGGAAGGCAAGGCTCATCAGAAGAAAAGGGGTTTCCCTGACTAGCTTATCCCCCGGGTCCCTGCTGAGCTGGACATCTGGGCAGGCAGGAAACCCATGGCAAATTGGGGCAGCAGCGGCAGCCTCTGACTTGATTCTTCCGTGGGCTATCAGGTTTAATAGTTAACCAGTGGGACTTGCGGTTGGTTGCTCTGGGCTAGGCTAGTTAATACTGCTTGCTGACATTGGGCATTTACCTCACCTCCCTTCTCCTCAAATGTGAACCTTTGTATTGAGATACCAGGTGGGCATGCTTGTGGGAGGTTCATGTCAGTGAGTGTTTCTTTTAAGTATCTGGGGTTTCTTAAAGCATCTTGAAATGTAGCTGGTGGAGGCGGCCAACTCATAGGGTCAGACAATGACCTTTTGGCGTGGAAAGAGATTGGCTGGATCCATAAACATCTGTCAGAGTCAAGGGAGGATCTAGGGGGCCTTTGAAAAGTGGGTTCTTGTGTTCATTAATACCTCTTTGAGCCAAGTCTAAGGCAGCTATACTCTAGATGGTATTGGCATATGGGAGCCTTTAGAAATAAATACTCACAAGTTCCCTTAGACGGATTAATCAATCATCTACTGTTTGCAACACTGCTTTAGGCACTGGAAATACACAAATTTTTTTTAAAAAATGCATTACGGCATAGTTGGTTAATATTCAGTGGCCCAGAGAATAAAATTAATCATTTAGTTCTTGTCAGTTATAGGAAGGCTCAGGTATCTACACTCCAATTAATAGAACATAAATGGGGTTCTCTCTTTTCCAAATAGTGTTATCTTCATGGTTTTTAATTTTATAAAATTGGTTTTTAAAAAATACAGTTTATCATTTTTAAAATCAGTAATTAATTGGGTGCTAAAAATGAGAAAGTAAGTTCCTGTCCCAGATTGTGTGCAGCAAATCTGCAGGATTATTTATGGGTCTCTTGTGACTTATGCTTTACCCTCACAACTTTCACTAAAAAGCCATGACAAAAATATAGCCTTGTCTCATGCACCTAGATCTACCTACTATTTGTAGGAAAGCTGTGGCCACACATTTTTAAATTGGGGGAATGGATTTTTTATTTAATTGAGGCCAATTTGGTAGTAAATATAAGTGTTAGGGCTAACCTGTCCAGCTAGAATCCCAAGTAGGGGTTAACCAGATCATTTGCCTGAACCCTCAACCTTTCCTGCACTGCCTTGGGCAGTTTTCATTATCATACATTGAAGATGTGCATGTCCATCCTGGTTAATTTGGGCAGATGAGTGAGAAAAGCACATGAGTCCTCAGTATTTTGTATCCTCAGTCTCTAACATACAAACGTTTAAAATTATTGACAAGGCTTCCTTTGGCTGTGAAAGCACTGGGACTACCCTCCTTGCATTCCAGGAGGGGTGGTTTGATTTAGGAGACTTTTTTCTTCAGTGAAAATTATTATTTTTCTTTCCTTTCGGTAGGAGATGACAAGGATAGCGAGAAGTCAAAACCCACTGGTTCCGACGGAGAGCGTCGTGGGGTCAAAAGACAGCGAGATGAGAAGGAAGAGCATGGCCGGGCTTACTATGAGTTTCGGGAAGAGGCTTATCACAGTCGGTAAGAGCGAGCTCCCCTTGAATTCACTGGAATTCCTACACTGGCCATGATAGATGCAGCTGCTGCTAGTTAAACTAGTTGGATTTTAGGGGCTTCATTTGAATTGGGCTCATTGGACCTCCTTCTTTCCCAGTGCCATTTTTCTGCTGAGATTTTATACTCTCACCTTGAAGCAGACTTGTTTCATTGGATGCAAGCTCATATAAATACTGATCAGAGAAGTGGACAGGGATGGTCAAAACTGTGGTTTTTTTCTCTTGTGTGTAGCTCCAAGTCTCCACCCCCCCCTGAAGAAGAGGCCAGAGATGAGGAAGAGGATCCGACCCTTGTGAACCTAGACACGTGTATGTAGGACACAGAAGAGATGGAGGTGTTGACCAGGAGACCTTCTGTCTCCTATCTCATTTTAGAAGTTAACGTGTCGTGTAGGCCCAAAACGACTTGGGAAGCTTAGTGTTTGAGGCTGTCATTGCACCTATTCCCACTGGAGTAGAAGTGGCTGTTATTGGGTGTCTTCTGACCATTGTGATGATAGCAGGCCTGTTGATGTTGACTGCCACTGGAGTGATGTCATCTCTTTCTCCCCGACAGATACCTCGGATCTCCA